GATTTTGACGCCCCTCTCGCAGAGATTTTGCCAAGTTGCGCACCAAAAGCAGGCTGATTAGCGCGCGTCGCGCGTGTAGGCGCTACTGCGGACAATACATCACTCGTGGGCCAATTCCAGCCAATTCCAGAAGGGTAACTACAACAGTGAATCATTTATATAAAATGAGTAGAGTGTTACATTCTTTCAATACATTAGCATTCTTGTATTATTATCTTGAAAGTTTTTTCAATGCTGTACGGCCCAAATTCATTTCGTCCAAACCAATTTTAAAACTTTCCATACTGATTCAAAGTCATAGACCATATGACTATTTCAAACCTGAAAACCGCATTCCCAACAAACCACATAAACATATGACTGAGTGCTGGGGATAACGTTATGGAGACGGATGACTCGAACTTAAACACCGTAATCTTGCTTGTCGCCATTTTTATTTACCTTCTAGAGTTATCGTTTAGATCAAGTATAATTGTTTTAGTTAGCAATGACAAAATCAAATTCAAATTATTTTATTATTAATTCCAAATAAATATGTAACAATTTGAACATGCAGAAAAGTGTTTCCTTATTAGGCATGTACTGCGTGTCCCACATATTTACTCTACTCGTTAAAATCGATCCTAAAAACAACTGCACTTTTGAAGAGCGGGCCCTCCACCAACAAGATTTCCCATCTACGCTGCTTCATTAGTTTTTGACTATGAACCAAGGAAAGCTCAGATTTCATTGAGCTGGAAGTTGTGCTTGCTCACCGCTAGATTCTTCACTAGGCTCGGCAGATTCCTTCTGTTTTGCTTCATTCGGTGAAGGGTCTTCGTCATAATCGCCGATGATCACCAAGGAGTCCGGTGGTTTTATAATTCTTGGGTCGGGAGTAGTCCGCACTCGATGATTCATTGGCTGAAACTTATAATGAGCTTAAGGAAAAGTAGGGGGCAAACAATCATAAGTGATGGTTTCGCACAAATTTGTAGCAAAAAGAAGATCTCTAAGAATTACCTTAATGATGGTGGAGTGAACAAATGGTTCCGGTGTAACCTCTTCTGATATTTTTGTAATCAGTGCACCTCCATCGATACTTGGCTCAAAAGGAATCAATGTGGGAAAGCCACCTTTCGGCGGCTGGGTAACAGCAGGGGAACGAACAGAAGAAAATTCTGAGGGTGGTGGAGGAGGTAGTGGCGCTATTCCCGGGACATCTACCGAGGTACGAGCGAGATGTGCTTGACCGTCATGTGCTCCCGAGTGCATAGATTCAAATCCAAATTGTGAGGTTGGTTGCGGAGCGAACGATTCGAGATTGGAACTCGATTCGAAACCTATGAAGAAATATTAAAAGAGGCAAAGTAAACGAAAGGGCACATGTATGTAGCAAACCTGGTCTCAAGTTATTTCTTGCAGGAACACCTGGTCGAGCGTGACCATCTTGAGGGATGCTTTCTGGAACTACAATGAGCTAGTGAATGGAGATGTATTATTAGTGGGGCTGAGTGGTATATTCTTGTGTAAGTTTTGAAACGTTTTGCTTATAAATAGCAGTATATATTTGAAGTTCGTTTTGAAAATTTTCCCTTCTATTTCAAAGAAAAAAGCAGGTAGGTTAGTCATGGATAGAAGCGTTTTTGGAGATGAGCGGTACGTTCTTTCCTTCTGAATCGAACGAGGCTTATACCGGTCCCA